GGGGCCGGGGCGGGGCGAAACGGAACGGAACGCCCAGGCCGCCGCCGGCCACGCGGTGCTGTTCTCGTCAGTGGCGTAGCTGGACTTTGCGAGACTCTTGAAACGGCGTTCTTGCTGCATATGTAGGAAAGCGGACTCCCGCAAGAATATCTTACTGTCTCAATGGCTATGGCCATCTCCAATTCAGCTTATTGGCACGAAACCCTGTTTGTAATTTTTGGCGTTGATCGGTTTGAATTTCGCAAACTCATACTACACCTCCTTCGGACACCCCCGCATCTTTTTGTCCGTGTGACCTCTCTCTGCTGGTGGGCTTGGTGGCCGTGTGCATCACGCCGACGCCGGATGACGGAGAGCATGAAAAAGAGGGGGAGGGGAGGAGATCGCGACGGCGGCGGCGCCCAAAAGAGAGCGCCGACGCCGCCCCGGCGAAAGAAGACGACGCCAGTAACGGTAATAATTAAAAAATCTAATATGCCAGCGCCGCATGCTGCGGGGCGCGCCGCCGTGCACGGCGGTGTGTAGTGGGGCGGGCTGGAAGGGAAGGGAAAAGGGTGTGGAGGACCTCCTCCTGCCGCCCTCTGCGCAAAAATGGCCGAATCGTGCCAAGGATGGGAACAGTTTTAAAAGGATTTTGCATGAAACCTACGCGATCGGAGGACGCCGTCAGTGAGTGTGCCGGCGAGTAGAGGTGTCGCCAATTATAAATATGTAATGAGTTAGGTTTTTGTCGAGCGGCTCAAGCAGACTTTTGTCTTGGCTTCCACTCCTCGTGCCCGGCGCACAGGCGCGCCGCGACGCCGCGTCCGCTGGCTCAGCAACAACAACAACAGCAGCAGCAGCTCGGTGCTGCATTACGAGCAGGGCGGGGCGCGCCAGCATGGCCGCGACCCCGCGTCGCGTCGCTCGCCGTCTCGCTCTCGCGGAGAGAGAGAGAGAGAGAGAGGCGTAAGGGACGACGCTCGTCGAGGCGGCTCGGTCCGACACGACACTCGGCGCGTGGTTCCGCTCCGTGCGTCACCTGCGCGACGAGACGCGACGCCCCTCGCGCCTGCCGCCGCGTCGCCGCGCCCCGTCGTCGTCGTCCACCTCTCCTCCTCCTCCTCTCCCTGCTCGGCCGCTGCTCTCTGCTGCGCAGCTCGGTTTCAACAACCCGGCGAGAAATAATTATTTGGCCCCGTGCGCGCGTGTTTTGTTTCACCGGCGGAGGTATCCTCCTCGTTGCTCGCGGTGTACTCGGCGTGCCCGGGGCCAGCGACCTGGGGCGGGTCCAGCCGCCGGGACCAGTTCCGTCGGTCCATTTGGTTATCCATCATACGTTTTTGACCGCCGCGCCGCCGCCGCCAGCCGCGGTGACGCAGCTGCGTTCGCATCATTGGGTCCGGGGGGCCCGGCCGGGGCTCTGGTGATCGCGACGTTGGCGATCTCCATCATCGTGATCCTTGTCCTGTCGCCGTCCCTGGTGAAGTCCCAGCGCCATGGCCTCTTTGGTGGAAAAGTCTTTGAAAAGTCATCCACGCGCGAGGCTGGTGACCTGGGGGTGCTTTGCATCTTTGGTGACCTCTGACGCCGTCCTCATCCGCATGCCATCCCGGATGATTCCTTAAGTTTCGACGGTCGCAATCCTTACGTCTGCGGCCCCAACTGCTTCCAAACGAAAGCAAATTAAAATGCAAATGCGGCGTTTCCGACCAAAAGGGCTTAAAATCTCACGCATCCCGTTGTGTCCGGCGGCGTGGGGCGGCCGTTCTGCTGCGAGTGTCTCGCTGATGTGTCCCTTCCGGACCGACGGACTCGCCGCCGCGTCGTATAAGTCATTTCGCGCACACTCATTATTTCGCACTCACCACGACGGCGCGACGACGACGAATTTCGGTGCGGTTGGG